CTGTTTCTCTTTTTTTTTTTTTCGTACGTATCCCGGACGTGAAAAAATTTGCCCCGTCTCCTTTGGTATGGAATGACCCAGTAGCGAAGACGTTGACCTTCCCATTGCAGCGTTCTCCGTTCAATGCACGCTCGATATATTTTGTCGCACTGCGTACACGAGGGAGTTTCGCGAAATGTACAAAACAAAATTAAATTTTGGAGCGTGACAGCGCGAGTGCGAATTTATCGGCTCTAAACGGTACACTGCGAACTTTGTAACTTTTATTTACAGTACATTACAAACGCGCGTGCATGTAATAAAAACATTTAAAAAAGAACTAAAACAAGAACAAAAGAAAACGAGGGCGATAACGTTGCGGAATGATTCCATTCCAGCCGCGATTCGCGGCCGACAACGGTCGGGGCCGTAATTTAAGAAGAGAATAAATTACGACGGTTTTCTCAAATGGTTTGAGAGATACGGCTCTCCGCAAAGCATGTAAACATAACGCGGCGGGACGTTGTTAAGGCGTAAACTCGGTCGACGAGAGAAGCAAGCTTTTTTTTTTTTTGTGTGTGTATTTTCGTACTATCTAGTATTGGGTATAGGAAGTGGTGGCGGAGAAGTGGTAGTATTGGGTAGGAAGTGGTGGCGGGAAATATAAAAAAAAATGGTCGGTTTGCTGATAAAACATGAATCCAGGGTCGCTCTACTTTAACACCTCGTAGAAAATAGTCTGATGACACTGTCTGTGTTGTTTTTTGTATGACAGTCACATTGTTCGTACAAACACTGACTGCCGACACTTTCAAGCACACGTATGTGCGAAGCAAGCGTGCTTCGAACATGCTTGAGATGTGCCCGCAGACAACTGTCTTCGGATAATTGTCTAAGGAAAATTCCGACGTCTTGTCTGCAGCGCATCCCACGTCTTTTGTGCGATGCATGGAGCGGTGTTTTGACCAATCCTGATATAATCACGCGAAAGCTGAGACGTTACGTTCAGACTCAGATCGTCGCCGATGGAATTTTTTAGGTCGGAGAAGTATTTTTCGGCTTCCTCCTCGTTTGTCGAGTGCCTTTCTGGTGGTCGCATGCACTCACTGCAACTTCCCTGTGTGCTGCTGCGGAAAAGTAGAGGCGGGACAAAACGCGAGGTTGTAATGTTCACGCTTCTTGCACTTCTTGCTTCCCGATTGATTCGTCCTCGTTCTTATCGGCTAATGCCGCAAAATCATTGGCCGCGGAGCGATGATCGGGTGCATCGGATTTGCCGACACACCCTGGGTAAGGAGTGTTCAGCCGCGATATGTTTGTAGCTTTTGCCGGATAGATGGCGCAGACTTTCTTCCGGAAAACAAACCGTGTTTCTCACAGCTGCAGGCATGCAGGTCGGGCGCTCGGGGTGGGCTTTTCGCCGCCATAACCCAACTTCAGCTTTTGTTACCTCTTATTCCGCGCTTCACTTCGTCATTGCCACAGCAGGACAGGTTATGGCCACTTATAGGTCTTACTGCGTCCTTCTCCCCAGCATAGGCCTTTGTGGAGGCTCGTCAACGCCCGCTTCAGTGGCTCGGCATCTCGGTAAGACGAGAGAAGGTCGGCAATGGCGGTTCAATTTGGTGCGTGTTTAAAGCGTCTATACTTGGTCTGACCCAACGCTGGGGGGCTATGTTGCGCTTTTTGCACTCCCAGGAGACTAGGGAGAGGGAAGTGACGTCAACAACGCAGGAAATGCAGATTGGATGTTGATTTTGTTTTCTTCTGTCAACATCCAATCTGATTTGCTCTGGTCGTTGACGTCACTTCCCTCTTCCAAGTCTCCTGGGAGTGCAAAAAGCGCAACATAGCACCCCTGGTCTCACCTTAGCATGGACTATTGTTAGCCGCGCGTGCTAAAGGCGTTAGCTACAGTTTCTTTTGACCAAGCTTCGGCGGATACACGAGCGTTCGTGCAGGGGGTGCTCCAGTCAAGGCAGTCAAGGCTAGCCACGCCCGCTTGCAGAGCCTTCGCAGTTAGTCCATGCTAAGGGTGAGGGATTGGTAGCCGAGTGGCCTAGCGCATACCAGCTCGGAGCACGTGGAGCGAAAGCTCGCGCTGCAGAGCTCAGGCATCCTTGGCTCAATCCCCGCCCCTGTCCGTTTCGATCTGAATGAGCATCGTATCGGGGTGCGGTCGTGTATCACTACAGCGTGGTGCACGGTAAAGACTCCAGGCTAGAGGTTGTACTGCACTGGCTACATTTCTCATCTACAGCTGGGAGACTCGTGGCCCGCTAAGGCAGATCAAGTTCTAGGCTGTACAAACATACACACAACCCAATTTTTTTTCATGCTAAAGCAAGACGAAGTATGAATCCAAATCATAGTTCCTTATAGTAGCAGGCTATGGCCAAATCTATTGGCGTCCGTGCATTCGCGCAGCTTCAGTTCCTCTCAAATCTGCACATACGGCATCATACGGCATCACACGCGGCACCGACGCCACGTGTGATGCCGTACATCTTTGTACCGCCATCACACGCAACGTCAGTGCTTGGAGGCATTGAAAAATAATTTTATTGTTGTGAAACACGCAAAGAGCATCATAATTGTAAGAGGTCTGGGGAATAACGTAGCAGCGCAGAACTAGAGAAACACTCGCAAACTCAGACACACCAAAAAAATATACACTCACTCAGCGCTGGTGTGTCTGAGTTTGCGAGTGTTTCTCTAGTTGTGCACTGTTACGTTATTTATTCGATATGAACTACCAACTCGCCCAGTCAGCAGTCGTATCAGATCTGGGGAAGTAAGCGTGAGTGATAAGTTTATTGCATGCACAGTGCCAAAGACGCTCATATTGGCCTAGGAACGCTTTCAGTATACGATGATGCTACAGAGTGGTCTTGGTGCGACTAGTTTTAACGACCCTTTCGAAGCTTCGAAGGGGTCCAAAATGGCGATCACCATAGCAACCGACAGCGATGAGCCAATCACCTTGAGAGGTTCTGTCGTCTGTATGTGGGTATTTGTTTTTGTCCGGCTAGCAGGTGGGAAGGCAATGGCGCTACTTTCCCAGATCCAGTGACTTTAGTGGGAGCAGAAGACAGATATCGCACACAGGACATTCTTCGGGCCGCCGTCCGTGCAAGCACGAGGAAACAATGACGAATGATTTGACTTGTGGCCCACCCTTTGGTGATAGTGTCGCCATCTCGTTAAACCGATTAAGAAATAAATATAGCGAAAACGGTCTTGTTAAATTTTATTTGCACAAATACGCAAATACCACAACATCTAGTATTTTCGTCAAGGTTTTAATATTAAGGTAGGAGACATATCTTGTACGTGCAACCATACCTTTGTCACTTTTATTTTCTAAGTAATTGTAATTTTAAAATTGTCTCAAATGCGCTCGAGACAGTCAAAATGTTCATCTCTCATAATTTTCTTAAAAATACCCAAGCGCTCCCGGGAAAAAGTTTAAGGGCTGCACGACCTTCCTTACGTTTTCATAATGAATATACAAAAGAATGAATACTCTCGTGCATTCCTGAAACTCGGGTTTGTGTAGCGAAACTTGCCCATTTAGTGAGGAGCAGGTGAATTTCCCTTAAGCTATTAGTGAGCAGCTTCAACAAGCAGTTGCGCCACAAAACTCTTTTCTCCCTATACGTTAATGTGTACTCTACGCATTTGAAGTTGAAATTATTAGCGGCATGCGCGTGTCATTCAGTTTCCCGCAGTTCAGATTAAAAATTATCCGAGCTGCCTCCGTGCCGATCGCGCGCGCCAGATTTGAGCCGCCTTAATTGACAGTCTCTTGCCCCACTGAGATGCCGAGTCACTGAAGTGGTAATGATGAATCCACACGAATCCCGCGTTGGGGACAAGAACACTAAGGCTTACAAGTGGTCAGTTGCCCGTCGCGTCACCCCAGCGATGCAGTAAAGCGAACGGAATGAATGTCAACAAAATGTGAAAGTTTGATGGTACATGGCCGCGGCCCGTGCCTAACTGCTGCAACGCATCTATGTGCTCCAATAGACGTTAACGGAAAATCCCAGAAGTCCTTGCGACGAGGGGAATTGTGGGGCTGTTCGGATGTAGGCTCGTGCCGGCTCGAACGCTTCGTATATCCTGGTAACGGCATGATTTATTATTTCTTAATCACGAACAGCTCCGAGGACACACACACACACACAAAAAAAAAATAATAACAAAGGGATCGGAAAAGAAGGTTATCGCATACTTTTTTTTTTTCTACTGCCTTCTCTGCGGTCTCAAATCACAAACTGTTAAACTAAGTCAACTTCCTCTTGGCTTCTTGAATAATTTCACGTGCCGTACATCTAAACGTCGCCATGCGTCAAGCAGACGCTGGGGGCACCACACACTTCAGCAAATGTCTATTCGAGCCACTGAGTAAGCTGTACGCGCAAGAGAAGAGGCACTTCAATGGCCCCGCAGCATGAAATCATTGTTTGCCAGTTATCTGAAGCTCTGTCTAAGAACGAAGGGCGAGGGTAAGAGGGGCCGGAGAGGAGGAAGCAGACGTAACGCTAAAGAGAGAAGGAGGTTTGCCTCTTTCTTCTCCAGCGTTCCGTCTGCTTCCTCCTCCCCGGCGCGTCTAACCCTCGCCCTTCGTTCTTAGGTTGCAACGGACTATAGTTCCCCGTACTCCAGAAACATTCCAACAGTCTGACAGAGCAAAACAATAGCTCCTGTACCTCCTGACACGGTATATATCCAAAGCTCAGGAAAGTCTCATTTTCAAATGGCAGCACTAAACACCAAAAACGGCGGAACCCACAAAAATACCCGGGAATATATGAAGTGCCGATGCTTTAAGCGTAGCTGTATATATAGCTCCAATTATTCGCCATAGTGGGCGCTCTGTGTACGGGCTACATGGGGCTATAGAGTCAGCGAGCGGGCGCCCGCTTTATTGCTGGCAGTGCAGTCGCCCGCCCTTTTTCGTTGATGCTCGTAAGCACTCGTGCCTAACTCGTGCGTTTATCGTTTCTCTCTTGCAGCTTCGCTTTGCGCGACGTTTTCTTGCGCCCTGGGAGAAGAAGAGTGCCTGAGTGAGTATGTCCCCCGTTCAGCTCGTTTGCGATGAGAGACTTCCGAGCCCAAATTGACCGAGGCGCTTCAAACGGCGGCCGGAGGCAATCTGGCGCGGAAGCTGTCGTTACCGCAGCAGTTCCGCGCGCTTACGGCACCTGCCGGGCTTTCTTCGACCGCCGCTAGATGGCACTCCAAAGGCTCGTGTATTTTTTTTTTTATGCGAAAAAGTTTCTTTGATTGAAATAAAACGAGAAAAGTATGCGTGGAAAAAAGCGGTGACACAGCTAATGATTAATGTTGTAGTTTTAAGTAATGTTTTTTTTTTTTTTTCTCCTTAGTTGAAAAATGCGTGTTCTTGTCGACGCTCTCATCTCACTTGCTGCACTACGCCATTTTTGAGCGAAGGCATTGCCGAGGAAGAACGTTTTTTAACAATTAATCGTGTTAGTTGTATTGTACTGTAAACGACTTATTTTTCGCGGGCTCAATATTTCGCGATTTAGGTCAAAGCTGAAGTTTTAGAATAAGCTGAAGTTTCGCGACGCGCTGGAATCTCAATATATGTTCCAATGTGTTTACATTTTACCCGAATGGTTCGCGGGGCCTATATTTCGCGAATTTTAGGCGAATCACGAAATTCGCGAAAAAAATAGGTCCTCGTGAAAATTAAGTCGTTTACAGTATATGGGGGATTTATCTATATCTGGTTTCTTCGCTGCCAATTCGGTTGTTTTGTTGTTGTTGTTGCTGTTGCTTCAATCACGACACAGTCAGATCTAAATTCGATCTTTGAGAACTGTTTTTATTCGACTCTTACAACGACCAACAAAAAGATATCAACCTAACGCAATGCATACACGCGCTGCGAGGCATTTCACGACCATAGTGGTACCGGTCATGAGGTATAAACATTAGTAGATTCATTATTGTTGATATTGCCAATATTGCGATTCCATATTATTCGAAATTATTAAATGCTATCCTTGCGAACGAATGACACGGCTGTTTCATCTTATAAACCAAATCGGTAGACCGATGATCACATGATCAAAATAATCTTGAGGTACTTCGAACTTAATACATTGAACAAAGAAAGGAACTCAGAAACGATTGGATCTCAAAAAGCCGATGTGCCCAAGACAGTTAGCAAGTAAAACGTCATGCACATTGTCCCTGCGCACATCGTTTTTTTTTTTTTTTTTTTGTCTATTCGTATTTGAGTTTAGTCCTTCGCTGAGATTCTTTCGCTGTTCGCCGTGATTGGCTGCCACCGTGTTCTGCACGAAAACGAACGCACATACTTTTTTTTGGAGTGTAACACGTCGCTCAACCTTCGACCGACCGGGTGACGTCCTGGAAAGATACCGTGGAATAGCTTTATGGGGACAATTCAGACGGCCGGATTGGCCCATATCAAAGCACGCCACGACCGCGAACTTCCGAAGCATCATGCGGTGGTGTCCTTCCTTTCGGGAACGCCGCAGCCTATTCGAAGTGAAAGGGGAAGGGGCTCGAGGCTTAGTTCACAAAGTTTACTAGGTAGGATACTCCTCTCATTTGCATTCGACAGTGCGCCTACCTCGCCAAATCATTTCCTAGCCATGTGAGCAGTGTCGCGTCCGAGAGGACGCGTGCGCATCACGCTGTCGACGCGGCACCGAGGGAGAGGGCTAGCTGTCACCGGCGCACCGAGATACCGGACTCGCCGAGACAGCAGAGACGGCTGTTTCGACTGGCGCCCTAGATGCTCACGACGATAGATGCCAGCAGCCGCCCCCCCCCCCCCCCCCACACACACACACACACACAATTCAAAAGTAAAAACCTCGAGGCTTCGGCGCCTCCAGTCGTTCTAACTACGGAAAACATGCCAGCGCCAAGGCCGTTGGATTTTCGCTAAGTGTATTTCCTTATGGTCTAAGTGCAACATGAGAAACGCAGGAAAGCTTAGCAGAAAGAAATCACCTAGCATGGCGAGCACAGGGCTTTGCGGGATGGGCTTGTCCCGAGTTTCTTAGCCTGCAACGGTCAAGGCATTTGCTTAGGTTAAAGCACTCGTTGCAGCTCCGCCACGCCTTAGCGGCTCGCAGATTTGCTCCTGCCTGTCGGGAGGGCGCACGGTGGGGTGGGAAATGATATCCGTTTCTTTGCGGCTGTCCAGCGGACTCCCGGATCCAGTGCTACGACTGCAACTCGGAGCAGGAGCCCCGCTGTCTGGACCCTTTCAACCACAGCGTAGAGAACCGGCCCGTCCTACGCGAGTGCCAAGGCTGCTGCGTCAAGATCGTCAAGAGGCACGGCAAGCGTACGTTACACCTGTACTACCTTCGTTTCGCAAATAGACACGTATTTACACCCTTAAAGATGAACTCACGGGTACTATCTCTCAGTGCCCTTATTCAGTGCACTTACACTCACGCGTACTATCTTTCAGTGCCCTTATTTCGAGTATATGCGCACGCTTCGCATTTTCAGAGTATAGGCTATACTGTTGCTTGGAACCTTTTCATACATTGCTGCCCGATGAGAGCACCGAATAACGAAACAAAGAGCGTGAACGTGATAAACCCCCGCCCCCGTTTCTTACGTTGTGGACAGGATTGCGGCACCGGTCTTGTGCAATGGTATACGTGACGTTTGTATTGTTGGTCCTCTTTGTGCACGCAGTGCGCTAACTGCTTGCAAACTCTACGTGGACACCCACAGCGTGGTCCTCCTAGGGAAGGGGTTATATACATAAGGCAAAGTGATTCACCTTTTCCATAAAGCCGCGGTACCGCCACTAATACATCATACACGAGACAGTCTGCTTACAATGTCTGAGCTGTGTTTCTTTATTGCATGACGACCGAAACGAACATTCTTCGAACATGCCTGAAAAGTGTCCGCAGGTAATTCCGTCGTGGTGTCTCCAGTGAGCACCATGTCTTCTGTACGATGTAGTATGAGTAGAGAGACTGCGGCTTAAGGGTGTCATTATTTTAGCGTGTAGCCTGTTTTGTTGCTTGATATCGTTTGCGCCAGGTATCAGAATATTGGAACATATTGACCTACCCCGCAGTTACGGTACAGCTCTAAACTGGAGAACTGAATTAAGGGCTCACCAGCGAGTTACATTAGCGATAAAACCGTCCCAAAATCAGGGTAATTTTTGCCATTCGTACGTGCGTCAGATTTTAATCCATGCCGCTTTCCGACTGGGTAAAAACATTATGAGTGCGACTTATACACAGGTTTGGTTTTGATTTACCATGCTGAGGCCGTAAGCGGGACACTGAACGAGAATGTCGGCGAGATTTCTGACCTCTGCGATTGGCCAGCAGCGCCGCGCTTGACCTTGACGCTGACCAATCGCGATGGTCAGAAAGCTCGCCGAAGTTTCTTTTGCCGAATGTCCAGCTTAGAGCCCCTGGTGGCTCCTTTTTCAGCAGCGTGTTTGTTTTGTGCTATAGAATTAGGGGTTCGAGGCAAGCTATATGTAGGAATAACTACTACCACAGCGCAAAGATATTGTCACGTTCAGACTATGCGCAAGTGTTCGAAGCACTCTCGCTGCACGAGTAACGGATCGACTCGAAAATATCATCTGTGATTTCTCTGATCGCAAAGAAGAATAAGTGTACATTGCTCTAAAAGGCGTCGCATCGCCTAACTTAATTCATAGACAAGATACCCCGAAGTAATACCTACTTCCATTTGTGACAATTTTTTTTTTTTTTCAAAAGCGTGTGGTTAAGGTTTGGGCCTTCATTTCAGTCTGCGTTCGTGGGATTCGAAAGCTATATTTGAGACCATCCGCCCGTATTAGGTGTTCTAAAAGTACTTAGGGCACCAAATGCCCTAAGTCTGGCGCTCTAACGTGGCTTCTCTGTGAAGTCATCGCTCTATGCTGGTGGTCATTCTGGGTCATTCCTACTTGTTCTGCCAAGAAAAAGCAACTTCGATGGTGCGAAATGTACACTGCAAAAGGTACGCGTTCACCCGTAATGCCACCATAATGGCCGCTGATAGGACGTCAACGGAAGCCATAAGAATAGGGGGTTTTCACCGGACACCAGATTTGAGTGCGCTGTTCAGAGCACATGCGCAGAGCAAGCTCACATTGATAGGCTGCTAAGATCGGCGCTGCCGTCGCCTCGCCTCCGCTCCTCCGGACAAGCTGGTGCAATTTCAAGCTTTTCAAAGCTTCGTTCAGTCGCAAGCTGCACGTGCTTGCAATCATGGTGCACCGGTCGGGGCACCTTGCTTGCAGTTGTCTATAAAATGCAAGTTAAAAAAAAAACAATACTCTGGAGCCTCGCCGTGAGAACGTGCTCAGCAGTCGCGCACTTAGCTTTGACCGCAAGTGAATAGGTGAGCGGCGTTTGGCAACTTCCGGTTTCTTAGGAAATTTTGTTTCACTGTTAACAAACGACAACAATGAGCTGCAAGCCTGTGCACGTATAATTCTGAAGCCTCCAGACCGTATTTTTCAGAACCATGCTTATACAGGCTTTCAGGTTATCGTCGTCATTTGTCAACAGCTAAACAAAATTTCCTAAGGAACCGGACTTGCCAAACGCCGCTCCACGCCGCTCCCCTATAAGGAGTATTCACTGAGCGCCATATTTGTGAGTGATGCTCAGCGCATGCTCAGAACGAGCCCACATCAATAGGCTGCTAAGACCGGCAATCTTGAGGGTGCGGAATGCACGTTACAAAAGAACTGTGGAAGCTCGCCGTCAGCACGCGCTCAGCAGTCGCGCACACAGCTATGGCCGCCAGTGAATACTTCCAATACTCACTATATATAATGCCAGCGCGTGATTATCCTGCTGCACGGGCAGAATCCCGTGCACTCGAGTGCTCGAACTTCACCCGAAAACCGTTCACGAGCGTGATTTCAAATCGGACACCTCTCAGCTGCAGACCCTACGCAGGTGTTTGGGCGAAAGAAACGAGAGCGTGACGGCGAGACACATAAAAGCACACCTTGGAAGAAAGGAGCAAAACAAAACACGCGGAGTGCAAGATGAATGTGAAGCGTTAAACGTTCCTCACGCTCACTATGTGCGCAGCACACACACACACAAACACATTGGGGTGCGTTGAAAATTGTGGCTGTGGCCAAGGAGAGGTGTTTCTTTAAAAATAAGCCGCGCGCCCGTTGCGTGTTGCGAATTTGGCACTGGGAAGTCCGGAAATAGAGCGAGGACGGATTCTCCGAGCCCAACAAGAGAAAGAGATAGAAAAAAAAAGAAGAAAAATCAGAAACAGAAAGAGTCAGTGGGCGGCGAAGTAAACGGAAGTAAGAAAGAACTCGGAGTTGGCTCGGGACGTCTAGAAATCAGATGGGGAGGGTAGTTCTTCGCCAATCCCGGCCCTGCCGGCGTACGGCTTCCCTCGCGCGAAACAAGTGACTTACTCCTTGTTTTTGTCTTTGCGCCGGGAGGTAGGCATCCGATGCGGACAACAAACGTCCCGGAATAAGCGCCGAGGCAGGAACTGCCGTCGTCTCCTGTGAGGCTATACGGGAGGAGAAGCGGCCCCGGGCTCGCTGCCGCTTACACGTACGCCTCGAGCTTTCAAGGACACGATTCCGCTCCGAGAGGGCCGCCTCTTCCGGGCATGCGCGGAGGAGTTGGCGGACAAACGCCCAGGTCGCCTTGTTCCTTGAGGATAGCGAAGAGCATTCTCGGGAATGGTTTATTTATTTATATATTTATTTCTTTATTTTTGTCCACGCGATGTACTGTTTTCGGTACAAATGTGGTGTGATGGGCCGTTGAAAACAGAATTATGATTTTTTCCCCTCTCGAGGATAACGATAAAAAAACAGTGAGTGCGCAGGCGAGCTGGTGGATGTTGATCATGATGTAGAAAACCCGAGACTGTGGTAAAAGCAGGGAAAGTTGGTCGAAGAAGAAAGACAGGGGAAGAGAACGTCTCAATATTCTCTTCCCCTGTCTTTCTTCTTCGACCAATTTTCCCTGCTTTTACCACAGTCTCGGGTTTTCTACATCATGATCACGGATAACGAATGCTTTGTATTGAAGCATGAACCAGGAATGAGAAATTCGTGTTCGGGCACCGTCCCTGGTTCCATTTCTAAAAAGAGGGCTAATTCGTGCCGCATTCGACCAGCCGATGCATGTAAAGGGCACAACAAACTAAATACTAAGTTTTTCTCTTTTTTTTTTATGACCGTTATTTTTACTATGTTCACTCCTAAGCTGACATTGCGGTGGCATCTACGCGCCCGCCGGACCGACCACCGCCCCCCCCCCCCCCCCCTCCGCCCTTTCATCAACTGACCCCTCCCTCTTTCTTCGCGTGGGTAGGGCCGTATGGGTGAGTGCGTGATCACGATGAGCATGCCCACGGTTTACCCCGTTGGAGCCCACACCTATGCTAACCTTGTCCCCCGTATAGCCGAGGTGGGACCCACGGGGGCCTTGCATGAACAGCCCAAGTTGGGCATGCCCCCGCGGAGCCCACTTTTGTGCTCCCACGGGGGCATTGCGTCGACAGCTCAAGTGGGTGTGGCCTCGCTTTTTGCACGACTACACTAACGCTGTCTTTGGATAACCGAGGTGAGACCAACGAGAGTATGGCATGGGCAGCTCCAAACGGGTTTGTCCACGCTAAACCGACCTGGGATTCACGGAGCTATAGACCAACACGCAGCCCTGACGTCACGCAGCTGCGGTGGCGCTGTCGACGGCACTGCGCATGCGCAGACGCTTCACGCGAATTCGGCTTCTGCGCACGCGCAGTGCCCACCCCTGGTGTGGGCAAACGCGGGTTTGTTTGGAAACAAAACAGCGTGTCGGTCTATAGCAGGGGCCGCCCAGCCCACTTTTCCCACGTGGGGCTCATGTGGGCCCCCCCTTTATGTGCTACCTCGGATAAAAAGCATGATTGAGAATTCGTGACAGCATTTAAGCCAGTGTTGGTAACGGTGGAAGTCGCCAGTACTTTATACGTCAAACAGGGCATTGCAGTGTCAGTGTCGTAACGGCTGCTTAAATAAAAAGAAAAGAAAAAAGAAAAAACAGAACGGCCTAGCGTTACGTCCGGACGGAGCATTGAAACGCGTAGACTTAACCTTCCCCCCCCCCCCCCCCCCCCCCGTCCTCCTCTCTCTGTCCCCCGTGAACCTAGGGAAGGCGGAGATTTGGGCGTAACTTGGGTTACGTCGGGCGTAACGCTCGACTCTTCGGTTTTTTTGTTACCACTCTTAGTTATCTAGAACTTGCCATCGCATTTTCTTTTGACGCCACTCTGCGCGCCGAGCTCGTCAACATCAGTCGGTAATATGTGTTGACGTCGTCCAAACTTTGTAAAGGATTGTTCCAACGACGGCCAGTTTGAAGGAACAACTTACTTTCCGGGATTTTAGAGGATCCGAAAAGGCGAAAACGGTGGGATCAATAACATGGTGAAAAAGAAACATAAAGGAGGCTAGCTACTCCTGCTCTAGGACTGTACCGAATGTTCCCTAATGTACTTTGCGCGATTCTGACCGCCCCCCCCCCCCCTAACCACACACTCGCACACACACACGTCTTTATTTTTTTTTTCTTCAACCTCGTAGTCTCATGGCGAATACAGTTATATCCCCTTCTTCCTTTAGGCTACAACACCATGTACATGTCAAGCAATCTCCGCGCGCCCCGGAGAACTGGGCTTCACTGCACTCAACGCCTTTGTGCGGTGAAGGACGAATTCAGTTTTCTTCAACCTCCTGCCGTGGAAAATATATAGATAATGAAAGCAGCAGGCATTTAGACAACTTCATCAATCCGGCAGGTATAATAAACAGTGTAAAATAAACGCTCGGTAATAGCCAAATCAAATTAACCACTGATGTATATATATATATATATATATATATATATATATATATATATATATATATATATATATATATGTGTGTGTGTGTGTGTGTGTGTGTGTGTGTGTGTTTTGCGTCTTGCTCTAAAAACAATAAAAGTAGGAAGCATAATTTTCCCGTCCCCCGTTTATTCCATAATTATTCCCATAGTCAGGAGCCAGTTCACAGTCGCCAGTCAAGTTTTCAGAAATCATGGCACTATTTTTATGCACATCAAGTTAACTGCATTGTCATCTTTCCTCTTTTGGAAAAAGAAAAAGCAATGCTTTTGTGAGTTTTTTTGGTTTTTTTTTTTGTTTTGTTTTTCTACCCTTGGAAGTGGAAAAAAGTCCAACTGGTTGCCGCTTCACCTTTTTACGCCCATGGCACGGTTGAGGGCCGTCCTTCTGACTGCTAAAGCTCGAGATCTCCGGCTCGTCAGTGGACATAAGTGACCCATGCCGTTTCTGCGCCCCGGCGTCTTTAGATCCTGGAAGAGCCTCATACTGACATACCGTCGTTTAATCACATGCTGCATGACCCATATTAAAGACACCAAGTTTGTAATCGTACCGCACTGGTGACTAAAGTTCTCTTTTACACCGAAGGGTCCAAACGTAATTTCAGAGGCGGGATGCCACTGTTTTACGGGCGACCCTAAGGCCTTCAGAAGGAACTCCTTCAAGGAAGCGGCGAACCAGCAGGGGCATGCGCATTGTAAATCGCGAGCTGATTCGCGGATTCTTTTAAGCACTTGCATCTGAAGGCCCTTTAATATTACCGTTTCATATGCCTTTTTTGTACCAAAATCCTTTACAGAATTGACTTATCAGCTCGCAGTCCCAAATGTGCGCGTTCCATTCGGAATGCGCTGGATCGACATGAACTGCTCGTGATGACGTTATCGGATAGGTCTGGTGGTCATTTCTACTTGTTCTTGCCGAGCGAAAACAAATTCGGTGGTGTGAACTGTATGCTGCAGAAGTCAGCAGCAAGGCCATCACAATGGCAGCTGATGCGACCTCAGTGCAAGTCATGTGTATGCGTGGCTTGCTCGTGACGTTATCGTATAACGCTGGTGGTTAGTTTAGCTTGTCCTTGGTGAAAACAAATACAAATACGGTGGTACCAAGTGTGTACTGCAGAAAGCTCGCGCTCAGCAGTAAGAACACCACAATGGCTGCTGATGTAACGTCAGTGCAATCCCTGTGCATACATGGCTTGCTCTTTACGTCATTCAATAAGGCTCGTGATCATTTCTACCACTTCTTGCCGAAAGAAAACTAAATCGGAGGTGAGAAAAGTCACGGCCGGACTGGAAGCGCTCGCTCTCTTTCTCAAGCGCGCGCTTCCAGTCTGGCCGTGGAAAAGTATGCTGCAGAAGGGGCACGCGCTCAGCAGCAGGGCCGCAACAGTGACCGTTGATGTGACGTCATTGTGAGCCACGTAGAAAGGCCTTCCTGCGGTGTTGCCCAGACCTCCGCATAACAAATCTTATTGACTTGTCTGATGCCGTTTCCAGAGTCCTTTATACTCGCGATGGGGCGCCCCCGGCGGCCCGGAGTCTCACCCGACCTTTTGCCCGCGTCTCTCGCAGACGACACGGAAGTGCGGCGGACGTGCACGGAGCGGCTGCAGATCAACATGTTTCTCGTGGACCACGTGTGCATGTACGAATCCGGCGGTGGCGGCCACATGTGTTTCTGCGAGAGTGACGCTTGCAACGCCGCCCCCCGCGGACCCAGTGCCTCCAGGCCCGCCGTCCGGATTGTCCTGCTACTCACAACGACCGCCCTGCTCGTGCTCCTCGCGCCGCCGACGTGCTGGGGGGCCCGACCCCGGCCGCCCCCGCGGTGGACGGCGGCAAGACCCGTCCCCAGACTACTCAGGACCTCCTAGCCACCCGCCTGCAGCATCGACCAAGTGCGCGATGTTCGCAGCGGCACGAGCACGCACCGTCCACCGCCGGGGGCGCCAGCGGCCCTCTGCAAGCCACCCGTGTGCGACGACGCCGTGTGTGTCGCGATGGCCCTGCCCCTCCCTAAACGGTTAGCATCGCCGCGCGCGCGCGCGTTTGAGGTGAGGAGGAAGCGACAGCGACGGTTCGCTTCCATGCTGGTCTAACGTCTACGATACCAACGCAGAGACGGAAATCTGGAAATTTTTTCATTCGGTCAATGGGTTTCTCTGGACGCCACGCGCGCGCGGGTCTTGTAGTACGAACAAAATCAAGAAACGCGCTTAGAGCGAGGCGAGCCTTTTCAAATGACCCGGCATCATCGCACCCTTTTTCGACGGGCGTCGTCTCCCTCGAGTTTAAAAAATCCCGCCATGATTGTCGTGGCAATCGAGGCTGCTCTCGTCACGTGTAGGGGATCCAGGGTTCCCCACCGCTACACGCCAAGGTTGTTAATGAATGAACTCTAGCGAACACACACCCTACCGCTGCGTCGCTCTGGTGATACTCATCACTGACACCTATATGGTCCCCGTTCACCGTGAAAGCAAGGTCTTGTAATTTGAGAAACAGGAGGAGGGATCGGTCGCAGGCCTGGCAACGTTGTGGCGCTTGTCGCGAGTGCTGCCGCAGAGGGGCGCTGCCTTGTCCGCTGTCCCCTCCATCGCTAATGACGTGCCTCAAATCCGTGTCCGGTTTTCAGCTGTTCTCCGCGGAGCCTGTCCCGGAGTGGAGTTGATATCGTAGAGATCCGAGTATTTCTGTGCTCAAGTTCAAGCTTGGTTGTAGAATCCACTGGTTGCTTTGGTTTCGTGTGCACGCTCGTTTGCGGGAGCAGGAAGGGCAGGTTCACATAATCCGCACGTCTTTTTTCCTTTCCTTTTTTCGTTTCTAATCAAAACAGTTCGGTAAATTTATACCATTGTGACACACGATCATTTTAAATGCCAATTGGATAACTTGCTAAATCAGCACGCGTCTCATGAAGCCCCAAAAACCAACAGCCAGGAGCCCTTAAAGAAAAATCAAGGACTTTAACACCTAAAAAAAAAAAGACACACAAGAAAAAAGACCGTCAGGTTTTAGATGGTTGATTCCTATAATGTCCGAACAGACATATCACAGCCATCATTGTTAATCGACTTCACTTTCAGAAGAAGGCTGGGAAAAGCACGCCAACAAATCCAGATAAAAAAAAAAAAAAAAAAAAAAAAAAGTACACTAAGTTTTTTTAGTTTTTTTTTTTTACTTTTTGACGTTTACTCCTCAATTAAACGAGAGTGTGCCTCCCTGCCGCTGCTCCCGAGAGCGTGTGTTAGTCGTTTGCTCGGTGTTGAAAATGGTAGACATGTGCTCGCGTTGTGTATGTTTCAGTAGCAAGCGCTGGGGGATGCAGGCGCGTCATAGCCTATGGTAGGAAAGAGAGTACCACGCGGGTGCTTGTAGCCGAGTGCATATCCCGGAGTTGGCAATACTAGGCTCGTTCGATTGACCTGCACCGGCCTATACCTGTCCTGCACGTCATCGTACCGTCTTGGCGGTCATTCCTACTCGTTGGCTACCACAACGGCCGCCGACGTGACGGTTGTGGAAGTCATATATATATATATATATTGGCGGCGAGATGTTTCGGAGGCTCCCCCTTATGGTTCTATTTGTGACGTCACGGCCAGAATTATCGATTATCAGTGACAATATCGATGGCGTGTGTAAAGGGTACGGTGGCCTCTTGGAGTCAACGCGTCGTTAAACCTACAGCGTCAAAGTTTTCGCTCTGACATTCCTCTTATTTCCATCGAGTAAAATTAATCATACTCAAGGTGATCGTTTGGTCAATCAAAAATGACGAACCACAGCGACGTTTTTGTTTTGTCTTTTTGTCGCGCACGTCGCGCACGTCACCAATATTGGTGCAGAAAAGTGCAGGGCTGTGCTCTTGTCCATCGAACCGGGGAAATGTGTAGAAAGGTGCGGGAGGTGTAAGCGGATCGAACGAGCCAACCGAGTTTCTTATGCAAAAACAAGATGACGGACGTAAAATGGCGCGTCACTCTGAACCCCCGACGTCCTTTGTAGCTAAAGGGGAATTCACACTTCGGAAAGTAACACACAAGTTACCTTAAAAGCCCAAATGATTTCTTTTTTTTAGGGGGTCTGTAGACAGCATTTTCAAATCTGCTACCAGATCGAAATGAAATTAGGGGGTTTCGAGGTAATCCACTTTCCGCTGTGTTCTGGCAGACTATTTTGAAGCGCGCTGACTTCGCTGCTTTAGCGATGTGGTTGTAAGACGTAGTCCTCACCAATAAAAGTGAGGCAAACTTAAGCAAAGGTTGTGCAGGCGCGTGGTTAGAATGTGGTCCTTACTTCGTTCGCCGTCACTATCAACACAAAGAGAGTCCTTCTTCCATGATGATTTTTTTTTTCTCTTGCGTGTTTACATAACATTTCTGGAAATATGCTTCACCGTGTAATTGTTGCGTAATTACTGCCCACGAGACCGCTTGCGGCGAGTTCAATGATGACTTTCTCAAAACATAAAAAAAAGTAAAATGGCTTTATAATTTCGGGGTGATTGGCACGAAAAAAAAAAAAAAAAAAAAAAGATTGCCAAAACGAGCAATTGATTATGTTGACCGCAGAAAGTTTAAACTCTGTTTCCCAGATGCATAATATAGAATACAACGCTGTGAATGGTGTAGCGTTGTGGCAGGCATGAGCACGAACGAGTGCGTTGCTTTAGAAAGTGACGTTCTTGCGCGATTTCTCGTGCAAGGAGATCACTTGATAACGCTGCGCAAAACTTGGGACGAGGTGTAGAGCTCTTTAGCATCTTCCCTTCAAAAGCTTCAATAACGACGCTAATAAATAATATTATCATGTATTACTTTTTTTTTTTTATGAATAACCCGCAAGTATGTAGTTTTGGTAAACATACACTTTCGCGCCAGCAACTTTCACGGCGTTGTGTCTATACGCGCGAAACGAAAGGTTGACTACTCCTGCGAGATCGGCCGTCCCTCTACGTCATCAAATTTTGTCGCTGCTTCACGAAGGCAACGAATGTTGTGAAGCAGCTGCCCGGCCGAACACGAATCAGTAAACGCAAATTCAAACTAAATAAAAACACAAAAAACACGTGCTTGAAATTGTCAACAGCGCGATTGGTGTAAGCTACGCTCCACGCGGCGAATGCGTAGTCGCGGAAATTATCTAGTTTTTATGAGGCAGTGAAAGCTGCAACGCCAAGACACACGACGTTACTCGTAGAAACGAAACAAAATAATAAAACGTAAGTTTAACTTACAATCACAACAACAGCCTAACACATATATAAAACCAACGCAGTACTATAGACTCAACGGTCCTTGAATAATCCTACTGGCCTGTAAACTTCGGTGGTTTCTGCCCTAGTTCATTCTGTCACCATAAGCGGCGCTAATCTATTTTAGAGTATACAAAACAACAAAAGGTTAAGCAATGCTTGAAAAAATTATGCTCTTTGTGAATGCACATGTAGCATTTTTTTCGTGGCTTTTGAATTATTCCGACATAAAATGACCATTAGGTCTCACTATAGATAGCGGTCCCAATCGTCCATCCTCTTGGCTGGTTCGTGGCGTTTTTATGAAAGAGTAGACGCATTCAGCGACTTTCTGCACGGAGGCTCTTCCGAACCCACGTCCATCCGTTAGGTTTTCCGGACGAGCGATCCGATTGGTTTACTCCTAACGCCGGCAGCCTGCCCCCGGAGTCCCTAAGAAGAAAAAAAAAAAACGTTTTCACAGCGCGACACCAAGGATCGTGCTAGGACTGCTACGCTCGTAGTACAGGTTCATTCATTACTCCTCATGTAGCTTACAAAAAACGAAACAAAGGTTGTGGCGGTTTGACACCGAAATAAGAACACTTCCCCCGTCGCACTGTGTCGGCAGCGAGGCCGTCGGAAAAACGTCGACCCTCCGAAGGACCCGGAGTAGAGGCGTTTCTTCAGTGCGAGGGCACTGAGGCTACGAGCCTTGAAGGGGCGGGTGGAACCGAGGGCCATGCACAGCACCGTACCCCCCCGCCATCCTAGGCTATAGAGCGAAGGAAAAACGCACGCGCTTCCTCGTCAGAAACAGAGGGAGGAAGCGGCGCGGGGAATACCTTCTTGTTATGCAGTTGCCTGTCGCGGGGACGGCCCTTCCAAGTGTACATACTTTAGGGTGCTATGGCCATGCCTTATAGTCAATCAAGTAGCACGTAGGTTCCATCGTTTCGTGTATAAAGAAAAGACCGAGTAGATAAGAGAACGCACTTGTACATACATCTTTGGTTCGTTCGTATATGTTTTCTATACAAATATCCATAGTCATTTCATTCATGATCCTAGCGCGGTTGTGCATGTCTCGAGTTTTCTTTCGTTTTCTCTCCCTATCTCTCTCTCTCTCTCTCTCTCTTGTTCTTTCCTTTCAACGATCTACTCTCAAAAAAGGCCTGGGAGTTTGCTTTCCTGCAGAACACAAAGGCAGCTAATCATGGCGAACAATAGAAAGATTTCAGCGAATTATGAAGCTCAGAATACGATTAGACAAACAAAACAAATGCGATGTGCTGAGGGACCAATGCGGTAGAGGGGCTTCGAGCGATAAACTGGCAGCTGGAAGTGATCCCCCACGGGGTCGCCACCATGCTTGTTGCACGTTTTTGAACACTGGACTTGTGACCTTATAGTTTTACGTCTAGATTTTAACAAAGTACCGTGCACAGATAATTGCTTTTTGATCTTTAATGACAGTACCGACGAGATAAGTTATGTTTCGATCGTTTTATGTCCAAAATGCGCTTTTACGACAATATCTCGGACAGCTTCGCAATGGCTTCGCTAGATGCCGACAGCCGCGGTGCTGTATTTTGGATTTTTATCGGAGCTAGACACTGATCTCTGGGGCTAACATTATTAAAAATTAGTTTATCATTGTTTTCTTAGAGCGATCACAATACAAATCTCGGCTAAGTTTTGCGTAACAGCCTCAGAATCTGTTACGGTCACGGGTCTAGTCGTCAATATTGTACAACATGGCGGCAGCCAGGGCAGAGGGGGAAGGGGGAGGGGTTCACTTTTGCCTAGAGAATGGGATACGAGTGGGATACCCCTCTACCTCGTTCGCAGGGACAATGTGGCTATAATGCAATTAAATGCAAAGGTGTGAGCGAGCTGGACAAGAATGACGAAATTAATCCCGGGAGAAGGGGACAAAAGGGACAAAGGACAAACACGAATCTCCAAACATAGCCAGTGAGACGTCATGCTCGTTGTCCCGCCCCACGTCATATTTCTGGGTCTATAATCGTGCCCTGAGCCTCGGCATTCCCCGAGAGCCTTCTATTGTCCACCATAATGCGTTGTCTAGTGTTCTGCAGGGAAATCAACTCGCAAACCTTTTTCTTTGTTTTAGGGTGTATCCTCTCGTAGAATGCGTCATTATATTTCCATAGTACAAAGTCTGCTCAAGTACACGCGCGTTACGGCTGTGTGTACATGTGTGCGTGTGCGAGGTGTGCACGCGGACCGAAGTAATATCCGCGATCGCTCCGCTGACAGATCTCGGTTTCCTCGATCGTCACCCAGTTCGTTGGAAGTTTATCGCAAGCAATACGGCCTACCATATGCTCGTCCCACACCGCTCCGTGTGCGTGCGTGCGCGCGGTGTTAAGTAAAACAGCAACAAGAACCATATCTAGAAACAGCCGACTATATCACTCGCTCTCTGCGTGTAGCGTTCGCGTGTCGAGTCTGGAGAAGGCGAGCACCACTCGGACCAGCAATTCTGCACCGTATATATATATATATATATATATATATATATATATATATATATAAATAAAATAAGAGACTATGTCGTCGTTGAAACTGTATCGAGAGGGGAGGACGTCGCTTTAGATATGAAGCCACTGAAGTGAATATCTTGAGTTCTCATTGAACAGCGGAAATCTGTAGCTGACACTTGTAATGCGGACTCCCAAATTTGCCGTTTAGGGAGGCTTAGGGCGCGCACAACGTGAGCGCAACCGTGCCCTTTTCGACAGTCTCACGGCGCGCCACTGGGCTATAAGTACATTTCCGAGGCTCAGAATGAATATATGAAACGGTCCTTAGATTACTTCGCTTTCTTATTTCTGGTCGCTACTGTAGAGATTCGAGAGTATCGTCGTATACCACAAATACTGGCTCGAAAATACACACAAAAAAATAACGCTGCTTCGCGATTTTTTATTTACCATCTACTAAAAAGATTAAAAAAAATAAACATAATGTAAAGCAAACACTGAGGAAAGTAAGCTCCATTCTTTCGTGAGCTCGCTCCCGCTGTGTTCGTCGAAAAGTATAAATTCGACCCGGAAATGCACGCCGAAAACGCTTACGCCAACAAAGACGCATAATACCGCTCGCTGTCTGTAACGGACAGAATATTAGTAACCTGCGGTTAGCTTACGTCAGACTTGACTATATCGGCGAACATCTAAACGCGACGTTAATGAGTTTAAGTTCATTAAAACTCGCAGTAACCTTCAGCGAGTTCGGAGTCATCAACGAAGCTGGAACTAAACTCTGTTTTACCGCGAGTGCGGTTGAAACCGCAGTTACAAGCGCAACCATCTTGACCCTTGAGTTTCGTTCACACTTGCAGCGCAACGGAGCGGACCACTTCAGAAGAGTCCCGCAAGGCATTTTGCATTTCGCTCTCCAGCACATTTCTCAGGACGAACTCTTCCAACCCTGCTTCAAACCAGAGTGAAACATTTTATCACCAATTCTCTGGATACTTATACTACTAGATACAAGTGAATGAGTAAACGCAAAATCCCTCGAAGATTTTTGTATATACTCCAGTAAGTCGACGGGTCACGTCTAACACGTTGAATAGCGCAGCGGAATAACTTTTCCAAATCTCCAACTTTCCATTCTTTGCGCACGTCCTGGCATCGCTCGCATAAACTTCACGATGGCTGGGGCTGCCCAAATTCACTGTATATATAGAGAGAGAAAGAGTATAGCATTACCTGGATGGACTCCGTTTCAGCGTAAACTGTGAGCAAAGTCGAAGCTACCAGCGTGAGCACCGTTGTTAGCTCGCGCTGTACATAGGTGCAAGCTATTGGTTTGCTTTTCAGCGTAAAGCTTAACTCGTCCGAAAACTTTTAGGAACCAGTCGGTTGACAAAAACAAAAACGCTACCAGAAAAAAAAAAAAAAGACGCTTATCCAGACGTTTGTAATCGACTGTCTTTCGATTGTCCGAATCAGGAAATACCTCTACTATATTCAAGACCGGCGTGACAGGCTTGCGCACAACGGCGACCTTCAACGGGATGCCTGTCCCTTTTGTATTCTACTCACTAGATCTCTCTACTTTAGTCCGCACCGGCCACTGGCCGTAGCGTTCTCCGGGTAATTCCGTCATGCCCGCGTGCTTTTTCCTCGATTGAGCCCTACGATGTACCTCATCTAAAACGCTCGATTGCTGCGTCTTGAAAGTGCTTACGATGCATGCTTAATACAATACATTAAAACGCGAACAAAGCGTACAAGTAGATAATAGACGACATCTAAAATAGTGTGTTATCCTGCAAAAGGAAAAAAAAAAGTGGATTCAAATTTTGATGCTGAAATACGTGAGCCGTGTGTGTACAGTTAAGCCGGCCCAGAATGACTCACTGTTCTTCTAGTGCGTTCTTGCGTGTTTTATTTGTTTTTAGCTTTAGCTCATGCCTTTCCTTTCTAGCGTGGTTTTGAAATTAGTTGTTTAATAGTTTAACTATTTTACCTCTTAAGGTTTGCCCGTTGATTTGGGGTCATGCACTACAAAAGCAAACTACCACAAACTTAGACCATTCTTTTTTTTGCTCCAAACTGGTTTTGAACATGGTGCGTTGAACACAGAATTTGAAAAGCAACAGTTGGCTGTAGTCCATCCCAGAAATTGCGCGCAGCACTAGCAAAGGCAAGGGAGGAGTGCTAATAATTCTGCACATTGACTATTTCATTCATGGCGCACTCCCTCCGATGGCTGCCGCAGTGTTGAATACAACTTTTAAGCTGGAGTATATGCCTACTGCGTTCACACCGGACATTTTAATTCGGAAAAAGATGTCAAACTTGTTCAAAGATCGAAGCACGACGTGGAACACAGCAATAAACTATAGACCCTTGGCCAAGATCTCACAACTATATATAGGTCTCATAAAATGAGAAGAAAGCTCCGTTCCATTGACAGGATTCTGTGTGATTATTATTTGTTTCCCTATGTAGTTGTTTTAGAAACGCAACATATGTGATACTTGCAACGCGGTCCAGCATTAGTCGCATGGCACCGCTTTGCGAGGGGGAAAGAAGTGGGGGAGAGGGGGCAAGCTCGGTTCGCTAAGCCCACATTGCCATTCGCGACTCCGGTTATAGTACTTACAGTGAACGCGCTCGTTTTTTATCACCATCCTCTCCCACCGCTATAGGACACTATTTCAACACGGTATGCAATTATGTTGACTCTTTTCTCCACCCCGGCCCTCTTCGTCAAATGGTGTCATTCCCCATTTCCGGACATGTACCAGAGACTATGTTGACAAGCCAGAACTCTCTCTCTTTCTCTCCATAGAATCATCATATAGAAACGCTCTCTAAAGCATTTGGGCGTATCTTATGCGCCTATAAAACAAGAAAATAGATGTAGGTGCTCTCTAATACTGATGCTAATGTCTAAAAAAAAGACTATATATATAGTCCTAGATGCATGCTATCTCTCGGCTCGAAAGACACCTGCTGCGCGCGAGAGAGCGTTCGCTCGCGGACGTATACGTCCGTAGAGGAAGCGCGCGCTGGTCAAGAAACTTCTATAGAATTCTAACTTTGTGAATGTAGGCTGCATGCAGTTCGCCGAGGCCGTCGCCGCGGCCTTGCGTGAAAGTTGTGCTCTTTTATATCGACACGGTGTGCGATTTGTTTGGGTGCCGCTGGTATAATTATGTACTCCCGACGGCTTTCATATCGCGATTCTTCGCAATATTTTGCAAAGCAAGTGTCAACGAGTAGTCTCTAAACGTGTACATAGTTTATCTCAACACGATTTTCTAATTTTCAACAGAGTTTCCCCGCTCGCGTGTTCATTCCTTCCTTAGGCCCAGCAAAAGATGGTTCGTCGAAACTATTTTTTTTTCTTTTTGCCACGGCGAAAGGAGTGAGTCCTAGAGATGCAACTCGTTGTGTTGTTGAAAACCTGCCTATGATTTCAGAGCTATCTTTTTTACATTACGCCCTCGGTCCCGCGTAGTGCGAATGAGCCCGCAGTTTATCGTATGAGTCATTCATAATCAGCGTCTTTTTCATACATTCTCTCGTTCACCGAGCAATTGTTACTAGCTCTGTCTTACGACTTGTTAAGCCTTTTTGAAATAAAAGAAAAACATAATTTTCAGCTGGAACTGTTTGTCTGCATGTTCGTTCGAGTTGTGTGTTGTGTCACGAGAACAAACCACACGAAATGTGAGATGTTTCAGCAGACGAAGCGCACTGATTTCTTGAGAAATAACTGCGGAATAACTTTACGAACGTGAATTTCGAGGATGCATCGCTCTGCAGGTAGCACTACCCAGGGTATCATCTGCCCGAGCACAAAAGGCCGAAACAAATGTGTGAGTGACAGTTTGTCGCACCTAGAGTAACTAAAATGGCGCAGCCTATGGATATCGCTTCTTTTCAGTTTCTCCCAAGCTTGCAATTGGCGGAGAAATGGCGATTCGCGAAAACATTTTTCAAAATTAAACGGTCTTAGAGAGCAGAAACTCTCAAGTAAATAATATGTTTTTCTTGGCGTTCGCAAAATGTAAACATTACTTTGGTCTAACGATCTGAAAGCTCCTTCAACTTGTGAACTTCCTGTACATGATGGATAGTGTGTAATGTTGATGTTGATGTTTATTACGTGTCCAAAAACACCATAAAGGTTTTGACATTGGTGCTTCACTTCCACATAAGATGAAGAAGAACATGCAAAGACATGAAACACATAAATAGCCCATCAGATAGCCTAAGTCATTAGAAATGTTATTAGTCATAAAAAAAAAAATTGGTTTCGATGTAATGGTAATCCATCAAACTGCTTGTTGGAATAAAAAGTTTCGCAATGTCGCATGAATTTAGATGGACACGTAACTTTATGTTGCCCGAAAGATCAGGCGCATCAGCATGTCCTTAGATGAGATTTGTAAAAACACAATGGTGTTACACTTTTCTGGTGTTTTATGGCGGTGGCATCAAGCTAGGGCTTCGAAGTCACTGTGCCGCCCAAAAACTTTATTTATATATGTTTACTTAAGCACGACTCGTCGACGATCCCTTCTACAAAACACGTCACTATCTTGACACGAAACGTTTTGCGTGAAGGATCGAAGACGTCCGTCGGCTAATTCTAAACGCTCACTCGACCGTGACGATACAGTCTAGTCCATGGATATTGCGGAACATCCTCCGTCGGCAGGGAACGCGAATCAGCGTCCACCGAGCTTCCTCCGTGACTTCGTGCACCGGGCCGAAGTCTTTCTGGCTACATACAGGTAGGCTCGTGCTTACCCTTCTTAATTAATGCCTTCCCCTTTTGAGCAGTATAGGTGACATTCACTTGACGTCACTCGCTAGGTGCGCTGGCATCGGCCGCCATGGTCGCCATCTTCGAGGTCTGCTTTTATCCCACGTAGGTGTGAGGTGCCGTCTGGCCGGACCTTTCGGCGTGGGTTAGCAGCATTTTACAACTTTAAAGGGTCTTTTCGGCCGAAACTAGGGGTTATTCTTATACTTTGGTGCTTTTGAAGTGCCGTAGGAATATTTTTTTGTGTGTGTTTTGGCTCGTTTTTGTCGCGGACTTTTCCGCCGCGGCCGCGTTGCTCCTTTGGCTCCATGCGGCGCTCAGTGTCGCGCGCCGTGCCCACGGCGGTAGCTTTTTTGCAAGAACTGTGATTTTCTACTTTGGGGCTTTTGTAGCACGGTGTGATTACACTTTGTTTTGTTTTCCTAGTTTTCTTACTGTTTTTTTTTTTTTTTTTTTTTTTTTTTTTTTAGCGGATTTATGCACTACGGCCGTGTAACCGTGTTGCTCCATCGCCTCCGCGTCGTACGTCGTGCCTTCCGTGTTCGTTCTGTGCAGAAACATACCGTGCGGCTCACCGAGTGCGCAGCTTATGAAAAATGCGTCGCACTTTTCATTAGCCCGAACGATTTAAAAACCGCATGCAAGCGATTTGGCGAGCGACGAGACAAGTGACGGCGACCCGCTTCGCTGCCGCTCGGTCACTCGCGCGAAGAGGCAAACCGCATGAAAGCTACCGAAGCAAATGACCAAAGCGACGAGCCCTAAGTTTTCTAAAAAATCAAAAACCGAGCTACGCGACGAGCGACAGTGAAAGGTGAACCGCAGGTAAGCGATTTAGCAAGCGACAGCGACGGGGGTCGGCGAGGAGCGACCGATATTTCTCACGGTCGCTCGTCGCGTCGTTCGGTTTTTAGATTTCTGGATATCGTCGGAAGGGAGGGGGCTCATAGACTTGGTCGCTTGCTTCGGTCGCTTTCATGCGGTTTGCCTCGTCGCGCGAGTGACCATGCATGCTCAGAACGAGCTCACATTATAGGGCTGTGAAGATGGGCAACCTTGATGGTGCATGCGGAATGCACGTTGCGAAAGAACTGTGGAAGCTCGCCGTCAGCACGCACTCAGCAATCGCGCAAACAGCTATGGCCGCCAGTAAATATTCCATCCAAAACTCCGGTTTTCTTTCTTTTTTCTTCTTTTTTTGGGGGGTGCGGAATATTTGTAAGGATACTATTCTCCGATTCTTTCTTGTGCACCGGGGGCTCCACCCATGGCAAATTGCCCTCCAAGAAGGGGGAGGAGGAGGGGTCGACTTTGTTTTGGGGGGGGGGGGGGGGGGAGCGGTGGCCGCACCTGTCGCCCCCCCCCCCCCCCCCCCTTGGATCCGCCCCTGTAATATTCCTTATAGTTCCTGACAGGGTGAGGACGGCGGGGCGTCTCCTTCTGATGTCCGGCCTCTAGCAAACATGCCTCCCGTCATGGCTGCTTGTGAGCGCTCGAGGCTCACGATAAGACGAAGTGATGGTTGAGGGAGAATACGAAGTTCCTGCCGGAGGCCGGACAACTGAAATATCTCCCTGTTGTTCTCATCCCGTCAATTTATATAACCGATATAGTGAACACTGAGGTCCAGACATTTTTAAATGCGCGCTTCATAATAACCAAGGTGGAAGATAGCAATAAAAATGCAGTTGATATGAGATTCGGACTTGGAGTCAGGGGCGTAGCCGGGGGGGGGGGGGGCTTATGAAACCTTAGCCCCCCCCCCCCCCCCCGGAAATCCAGCCGACACTATAATATACACATGCGTTTTGACCCACCCCCCCCCCCTTCTCCGCACTCTAAGTCATACGCACCCCAGCCACCTCAACCCCCCCCCCCCGCCCCCCCCCCCCCCCCGAAAAAAATTTCTGGCTACGCCACGTATAAAATATATGGTGAAGCAAGCGGAACCCCAGAAAGGCTTGGCCGATAACACCGCTGCAAAATAAAAAGGTGGTGAATAAGAAGCATGCTGTATCGGGACGGTCAATTTTTGACAGACCCCCCCCCCCCTTTTTTTTTCCTCCTAAACTTTTTAGGACCGCTCCTCCTCCTTCTAAAATGATCACGACAAAACTCAACCTCTAGCCGATCCTGGACAGGACTGGATATGAGGTAAGCAATGGCAATATCTCCTCGGCATGCCAAGAAAACAAAATCGAGAATTGTGTTTCGCTTGCAAGAAATTCCATTTCCTTTCATTCAATTACCTCAAAGCGCCTAAAGGCATTACTTGAGGGGGGAACAAAAACAAAATTATACACTCTGAATACAAGCCACATAGCATCCAAGCAGGTTTTACGAAGTCTTAAAAAAAAAATAGCTACATACCATATTAGTGCATAAAGTTAAGGTAAGTAAAATAATTCATCGGAAGTACTTTTAAATTTATTACATTCAGAAGTAATTACCAACCTCTCGGGCAGGTAGAGGATACTCGGAGTACTGCTCGGTGCGACATGAGGGCAACCGGATTTTCTGATGGTGATCGTAACTGGGAAAATTTCGGTGGGGAGGAAGTAAAAACTGACTTAAGAAGCGGATTATGATAGTAAACAATGTGAAAAAGAATCAATCGCGATACTTTGCGTCTTGTTGCATAAAGATGTGAGACCAGCTTTGGACGCTAAAGCTGTCAAGTGTACGTAAAAAAAAAAAAATCCTTAAAAACAAAAGCGAACGGCTTTGTTTTGGACAGATTTGACTTTTTCAATCAAGTAATCTTGCCAGAGATTCCAAATTAGGCCAGTGTATTCTACCGTCGAACGAATGAGGACTTACAAGCTAACAAGCGAACCTCAGAAGGCGCCAAATACAAATTTTTTTTCCCCTCGAATAACCCACGGTACAATTTTCTTTGCTAACTAAGTAATCAATATGCCGGTTCCGATCCAGATTTTCTCTTAGTATGAAACCGAGACATTCGTAATTGCTCACTGATTCGAGATTGAAACCGGTCATTTCGTAGTCGGAAATAATTGTTGGTTTCTTCGCTCATTTGCCAATTCTCGAACCATGTCATTAAAACATTCAGGTCACCCTTCAGGGTCAAGTTATCATCTTTGGTAATTATGCTCGCATAAATAACACAGTCGTCTGCAAAGAGTATGATTTTTTAACAAATAAAATTTGGGAGATCATAAAGATACGCTTAAAAAAGCAGTGGGTCAAGGACTGATCCCTGAGGAACTCCTGATTTTACTGGAATTTTGTGAGATGAGTCACTACAAACTGAGACCGACTGAGTTCTGTAAAAAAGGCATTCCCTGATCCATACAAGAAGGAGCTTATGAATGTTAAGAACTTAAAGCTTTTTTTTTTTTGTTTTTTTCTTTTAATAAGCGCTGGTGTAAAACGCGATCAAACGCCTTCGAAAAATCGACAAAAAGAGCATCAGTTTGCGTCCTAGAATGGACGTTTTTTGTGTAAGTCAATAACAAACTCAAGCAGCTGAGTCTCGCAGGATCTTTCCTTTCGAAAACCGTGCAGGTTAGGAGGAAACCAGTTTATATCTGAGAGGTACTTTACGATGTGACTGTAGATATGTTGTCATTTGTACATGTCAATGAGCTTAACGGGTATGCTGGTTAAGGAGTTAGTCCACCCAGGCGAAAATCAGTCCATCTCTAGCTGGATTATGGAACTGGAAATGAGGCAGTCCATCTGGATTCCAGCTGGGTCCAGCTGGAATTCAGCTGGACTGCCTCATTTACAGTTCCATAATCCAGCTGGAGGTGGACTAATTTTTGTCTGGGTCGATGATTATTAGCGGACATAATGTCTCCAGAGTTAAAAACG